CCCCCCCCCCACACACACACACACACGCACACACAAAATAGTTTTGCAACACAATAGCCTTTTGGGTTGGGATCCCCAGTTTGAAAAATGCTGACTTGAAGTCTTTACATGTTTATATTATAAAATACATATTCATGATTTGTGACACCATGAAATTTAAGATTTAAAGATCTGTAACTCTGAAAATCAAGATTTTAAAAATGCTATGACTGTAAAATTTTTCAAAATGGACTGTGAATTTCATAGGGCCCTAATGATGAATCTGTCTTTCAGTGACCTCTCATCTTAAAGACCAGATGTCTGGGTGGTGAGTCAAGAGCTGGATTTCCTAAGGGGACTGTGTTTTCTGATTACAGGTTAACCAGTATAGTGAGACAGAAGATAATTTTGTTACCGCTTGGTAAACTCTGATAGAATAACCATCAGTTTGAGGTGTATCTGCCCAGTTTCATACAGTTTATCCTGAATACGGTATTCTCAGTTGTGACCCACTTTAGGCATGGTGACACTACATTCATAGATTTTTAAGTCCAGAAGGGGCCATTACATCATCTAGTTTGCCCTCGGGTGTAACACAGGCCAGAGAATCTCACCCAGTTACCCCTGTACTGAGCCCAATAATGTATTTGTCTGAAGCATGGTCCAGAAAGGCGTCCAGTCTGGATTTGAAGACACCAGGAGATGGAGAACCCACTTCCCTTGGTGACACTGAGATTAGAACGAAATCTCTGAGAGCAGAAGAAAGTGACCAGAGCAGGAAATGCCCAAGGGGTGGGGCGAAGGGACCTCAGACAGGACAGGAGACACATGCTGAAATCACTTCCACTTCTCTTCCGGCGCAGACTGACAGCAGGATCCTGACTCCCTTTGGGCAGAGCTGGCATGGAGAAGACATGGGAAAAGCTGCTGTAGTAGACCCTGGAAGAGCAGGGGGACCAAGAGCTTAGGAGAGCAGGCTGCAAGTGGCCCTGCTGGACTGAGGGGTGAGGCACATTCCCTGTGAGAAGCTGCACATAGGGGTTACCACAGCTATTAAGGACGTGCTGATCAGGTTCTGCACCGAGCGCTACGGGGTGGAGGTGGCCGTGAAGGTGCTGACAGACATCGACCGCACAGACAGTACAGAATGAGCTCAGGAGAGATCAGACCCCCTAATGGGGAACCCATGTTACACACCCCGACCTGCCATCTTATTTCTGTACACACCCTAGCCAGGGATAAATCCAGCTCTTGCCATCAGGAGGAGTCAGCTCAGTTCCCCGAAGCTTGTCCCCTTCTGTCCTGTTCCCTCCAACCTCTCCCAGTCCTGCCTCTTCCCCACCCGCAACTCCTCAGTCCAGTCCCACTCGTCTTCCCCAGCGAGTCCCAGGTTCTCCTTGCCCAGCCAGTCCCAGTTCCTCACAGCTCCTCGTCTGATCTGTATCTCCCCTCTCCCACCACTGTTTCCTAACCCCCGTTTCCTTGTCCAGCCAGTCCCTGTCTCACCCCTGTCCAATATCAGTGTGCCCTGTCCCCCCGGCCCTCCACCCAACGGGCTCCCAATCCCCTGTCCTTTGTCTGTCACTGGCCGAGTCGTGGGTGCTCTGGCCTAATGGGTGGAGCAAGAGTCTGAACTCAGAAGAGACGGGTCCTGAGGCAGAGCCAAGGGTCGGAGCTGGGAGTTAGAAGCCAAAGGGTAACTGGAGTCACAGTCAGAAGGCACAGCAAAGGCTCAGAATTGGGAGGCCAAAGCCAGCATGGAGCTGGGGCTGGAGCAGGAGCAGAGCTAGACAGCACAGCAGGGACAGGACCAAGCACAGCTGCAGCCAAGAAGCATGTTGAGCAGCCAGTGCTCTGTTATTGCTGCTGGGCTTATAAACCAGGCTGCTGGCCTGTCACACCCTGTGATCAATCAGGCAGCTCCAGGCCAGGGCAGCTGCGCCTACTAGTTGCCAAGCAGCGAAGTTAGCTGGGGAGCAGGCCAGTGGCTGCACCCAGCTGACCTGACCCCTGTGAGTAGCCCACTTTCAGGGGCGCCTTCCAGGAGCCCTAGAACCAGGATTCTTGGGGTCTGCTCTGGGAAAGTACGCAGAAGGCCCGGGGCATGGCCATGTTCCATGAGCTCACAGAACTCCATCTGTTTCCTTTAACAAAGAGAAGGTAAGGGGTGACTTACTTACAGACTGTAAGCATCACATAGGGAACAAATATTTCATAATGGGCTCTTCAATCTAGCTGACAAAGGTATAACATGATCCAATGGCTGAAAGTTGAAGCAAGACACATTCCGATTGGAAATAGGGCACACATTTCTGACAGTGAAGGTAATTAACCATTTGGGAACAATTTACCAAGGTCCTGGTGGATTCTTAAGATGGGATGTTTTGTTAAATGATCTGCCCTAGGAATCCCCCACCCCCTCAAATCTTTTCTATACTTCTGCCACCCACACCCAACAACTCTTCTGGTTCACTCCCAGGCTCCTCCCAGCAAGTATTTCCCTCTCCCTCACTCCTCCGTTACCCCTGACTCCCCCAAGCCTTTGCGCTGCTACTGAGGGGTGCGGGAAATACATTTCTATATTGTATTTTACATGAATTATTATTCAAAGTTCTGTATTAATATACCTAGTAAGGAATCTGTCAAAAACACCTCCTGAATCTTTTTTGCTGTCTGTATTGTTACAGACATACTTGCTGACAGGGATTTTGAAATAAATTAGCAAAATAACTGAAACTAGTGTGATTTTATTGTGTTATTTTGACAAATAAATTATGCAGAATTTTAAAACATTGTTCACAGTATTTTTAAGTGCAGAATTCCCCCAGGAGTAATGGGAAGCTCTATCTGTGTACCTGACAGTCACACCGTTCATCCAGCCTCACGGTCAGTTAGGCCTTAGAACACTTTAAAGGGTTCACCTTAAAGATTGACACTTTACACTGGCTTCTCCACATGCTGTGTGAATGCATCAGCTTCTTTAACAGCAAAGAAACACTTGCTTAGACAGACCTTTGTTACACATTAGGTACCTAGTTCTTCATCACATTTCTATTTAAAATAGACGGCATGAGCAGTTCCTGAGTCTCCTTTCAATCACGCACACTGGGTTGTCCTGCCCCACTCCTCAATCCAATCCATGCTGACACAGGACTGCAAATCCCACCTCTAGATGTTACCCAAGAGTCACCCGCTGGCTGGAACCAAGGAAGGTGTGGGGGGAAGTTCCCAGCTGAGTCCCATCTAGACGGGGGGGGGGGGGGGGGGAGGTCGTGTGTGTGTCCCAGCCAGATGCGTGAGTGAGTCGGGACGGAGAGAGAGAGCCCTAGCTGGATCCCACCTACATGGGGGGGGAGGGTTCCCTAATGGAGTAGGCTGTGACCATCTGCTCTAAATTCCCTCCACCTGTCTGCTCTTCCCCACGCTGCTCAACCAAGTCTCCTTCCTTGCCCCACACAGTCTCTCTGCTGGGCATCATGGGGACAGGACCACTCCCTGATCTCCATCTGCTGGTGCTGTGCCAGGCCCACTGGCTGCCAGAAGCCCCTCAGGCCCTGGCATTGGCAGAAGGGCATTGGTGAGAGTGACCTGGTGCCGGGTGAGGTTGGCCAATCTTGCAAAGTACTTGCTCCAGTCAGCACAGCTGCACTGCCACTCTCAGCTGTGAATGCACCAATGTGATATCAAGGAGGCCCATCCAAAGCTCTTGCTGCAGTCAGTGCATCGGAATGGCCTCTCCCCAGTGTGCATGCACTGCTGCTTGGTCAGTGCACTGGTTCTGCTGAAGTTCTTCCCAGAACCGTCACAGCGGTGCAGCCACTCCCTCGTGTGTGCACTGGTGTCTTCGCAGGTGTGAAATCTGTACAAAGCCCTTGCCGCAGTCAGCACAGTGATGCGGCCGCTCCCCGGTGTGCGTGAACTGATGTACTCTCAGGTGTGAAATCTGTACAAAACCCTTGCCGCAGTCAGCACAGCAGTGCGGCCGCTCTCCGGTGTGTGTGCGTTGATGAACTCTCAGGTGTGAAATCTGTACAAAGCCCTTGCCGCAGTCAGCACAGCAGTGCGGCCGCTCCCCGGTGTGTGTGCGCTGGTGTGCTCTCAGGTGTGCAATCTGTGCAAAGCCCTTGCCGCAGTCAGCACAGCAGTGCGGCCGCTCCCCAGTGTGCGTGCGCTGGTGTCTTCTCAGGTGTGAGCTCTCTGCAAAGCTCTTGCCACAGTCAGTGCAGTGGTATGGCCGCTCCCCAGTGTGTGTGCGCTGTTGTCTTCTCAGCTTTGAGCTCTCTGCAAAGCCCTTGCTGCAGTCAGCACAGTGCTGCAGCCGCTCCCCGGTGTGTGCGCGCTGGTGTGCTCTCAGGTGTGCAATCTGTGCAAAGCCCTTGCCACAGTCAGCACAGCGATGCGGCCGCTCCCCGGTGTGTGTGCGTTGATGTACTCTCAGGTGTGAAATCTGTGCAAAGCCCTTGCCGCAGTCAGCACAGCGGTGCGGCCGCTCTCCTGTGTGTGTGCGCTGGTGTGTTCTCAGGTGTGAGCTCCGCGCAAAGCCCTTGCCACAGTCAGCACAGCGGTGCGGCCGCTCCCCAGTGTCCATGGGCTGGTGAAGGGTCAGCGTCTTGCCACTGCTGAACATCTTACCACAGTCAGCACAGTGGTATGACCGCTCCCCAGTGTGTGTGCGTTGGTGTGTTCTCAGGCTTGAGTTCCGTGCAAAGCCCTTGCCGCAGTCAGCACAGCGGTACGACTGCTCCCTGGTGTGCAGGCGCTGGTGTGTTCTCAGGCTTGAGTTCCGTGCAAAGCTCTTGCCGCAGTCAGCACAGCAGTACGGCCGCTCCCCACTGTGCATGCGCCGGTGTCGTCTCAAGGTTGAGCTCTCTGCAAAGCTCTTGCCGCAGTCAGCACAGTGGTGTGGCCGCTCCCCGGTGTGTGTGCGCTGATGTATTCTTAGGTTTGAGCTCCGTGTAAAGCCCTTGCCACAGTCAGTGCAGCAGTATGGCCTCTCCCTGGTGTGCGTACGCCGGTGTATTCTCAGGATTGAGGACTGTCTGAAGCTCCTGCCACAGTCAGCACAGCGATGCAGCATCTCCCCGGTATGTGTGCGCTGGTGCTGGGTCAGTGCAGAGGAGTTGCTGAATCTCTTGCCGCAACTGATGCAGCGGTAGGGGTGCTGGCCCATGGGGAGTCTCTGTTGTGTAGCCAGGTCCAGTCTCTGGTGGAGTCTACCCCGGGGAGGGACTGCGTCCTGTGCATGGATCTCTCTGTGGGATGTGGGATCCTGTGTTCCTGCTGCGCTCTCCCCACATTCAGACTGTGTCCTCGTTCCTCCCAGGATCTCGTGCCCTGCTGGAGAGATCAGAGGCAATCCCAATGTTAGCTCACGGTTAAGGCTACAGGTTTGTCAAGGATGGAAAAATGTCATGGATGGAGCGATTTCCTCATTTGTCCCTGACTGTTTTTTGGATGGGTGCCTCACCCTGCAATGATGGCACTTGTCCCACAGGGTTGGACACAATGCCTCGCTCCGGGCATTGAGACCTGGCCTGCGGAGTTCCAATGCCACTCAGATTTGCCCCCGCTCCCTGTCATGATGGTGGGGGAAGCAGGCCATTCACCCCTTACAGTTTAGCAGTGTCACTGATTGGGTTGTAAAACAATACAAACATGTTTTTCAGGTTACATCACACAAACCCTGAGTGACCTGTCATCCCCTCAACCCCCTTCCAACCCACCCCCCAAACCCTCATACTTCACCTCTGTTGGGGGGAGCAATCCCCCCCAAAAAACTGCACCCATGGTCGTGTTCCCCACCCCCACACCGTGGCTTCCCTGGCGTTTTCTGCAGGGAGGCACCGGAATTCTGCGGGGGGAGCCGTTTTCTGCAGGCGCACAGTCACGCAGACTCTCCCCAGGAGTAAAAGTAATAAGTAACAGTCAGCATGGATTTGTCAAGAACAACTTATGTCAAACCAACCTAACATCCTTTTTTGACAGGTAACAAGCCTTGTAGATAGGACAGAAGCAGCAGATGTCACATCTTGACTTTAGTAAGGCTTTTGATACTGTCTTACATGACCTTCTCATAAACAAACTAGAGAAACATAGCTTAGGCAAGCCTACTATAAGGTTGGTGCACAACTGGTGGGAAAACCGTACTCAGAGAGTACTTGTTATGGTTCACAAATTAGCTGCAATGGTATATCGAGAGAGCCCGCAGGGATCTGTCCTGGGTCCAGTTCTATTCAGCATCTTCATAAATGATTTGGTAATGGCATAGAGAATACACTCAAAGTTTACGGACAATTTAAAGCTGGGAGGGATTGCAAGCACATTAGAGCAGAGGATTAGAATTCAAAATGATCTTGATAAACTAAAGAAATGGTTGGAATTAAATAGGATGAAATTCTATAAGCCCATATGACAAGTACTACACTTAGGTAGGAATAATCAATTACACAAATACAGAATGGGAAATGACTGCCCAGGAAGGAATACTGCAGAGAACCATCTGGGGTTATAGTGGATCACAAACTAAATATGAGTCAACAATGGAATAGTTTTTTGATGGAAAAAAAGCAAATATTATTCTGGGATGTATTAGCCAGAGTGTTGCAAGCAAGATGAGAGAAGTAATTCTTCCACTCTACTCGGCACTGGGAAAGCCTCAGCTGGAGTAGCGTGTCCAGTTCTGGACCCCACACTTCAGAAAGGATATGGACAAACTGGAGAGGATCAGAGGAGAGCAACAAGAATGACTAAAGATCTAGAAAACATGACCCATGAGGAAAGATTGAAAAAATTGGGTTTGTTTAGTCTGGAGAAGACTGGGGTGGGGGGTTGTAGTGAGCCGGTGTGGCACCCCTCCGTCTCCGACAGGGACGAGCTTCCTCCAACCCCAGTGTGGGCGGAGCCACCGGGTCCGGGGCCCGCCCCTCCGAGGTCACGGCCCCGACCCGGAAGTATAAAAGCCCGCCAGCAGAGCTCAGTGACAGCCAGACCGCCAGAGAGAGCAGACGTCCCGGGCCGAGCTCCCGCTTGGGAGCCAGCCGCAGGCCGTGAGCCGCCTGCTAACGCCCTGCGCCGGTCAAGTCTCCTGCTCGCCCGTTACCCCGAGGAGGACTGGCCCAGCCTGCCCCGGACCCGTTACCCCGAGGAGGACTGGCCCAGCCTGCCCCG